CAGGTTTGGGGCCTTCTCCGAGCTCCTGCTGCTGACAGTGGCCTGCACTGTGCCTCCATTCTGGTTAATATGCCAGTCAGCTTGCCTGGCCAGATGGATGTGCCAAGACGGCTCTGTTGCAATGGAGAATTGGGCAGGAAGCAAAGGGATGGAGCAGGGTCCAAATCACTGGCCCTCACGCTGCTTTTAGAAGGCAGTGAGTAGTTGTCAGGTAAAAGCCACCAAAGGCGGCAAAAAAGTCGTTCTGTGGTGCCGGGGTTAAACCCTGGGCCTGGCGCCTGAGGGAAATGTTCCCCCCTAGCCACCCTCCTGGGTGCTCTTCTTACTTTAGGCTCCAGACACCGGAGGTTTGTGTTCTCATTTTGGTGGCTTTGTTTTAAGACAGGCTCTTGCTATGAGCTCAGGCTGGCCTCGAACATCCTGCACCCTCCCCAGTGCTCAACATTCTTTTGAGACCATACTGTTTAGTGAAAGGAATCAGACACACATGTTTACATACCGCACTGTTTCTCTGGTGTGAGAAATGGAAAGTGGAAACAAGGGCCAAAATGTGTAATAGATATTGGGAAATGGGAAGAAAATGTTCAAATAGAATGAGAACAAGGGAAGGGAAAGGGGAAAGGAAGAAGGGGTAAGAAAAAAAAGGATAGAAAAAAATGGAAACAAAGCTTTTGTAAATACGGGTTAAAGGGGAGATGGGAAAAAAGAAGAAGCAAGATATATCATGTACAAATTTCCTATGATGAATGTTATCATCATATATATATATGAAATGTAGTAGTACTTTTTTCTGAGACAGGGTCTTGCTATGTATTTCAGACTGGACTTGAACTCACTGTGTAGTCTAAACTGGCCTCAAACTCGTGATGATCCTCCTGCCTCAGCCTCTCAAATGCTAGGATTACAGGCATGCACCACCACACCCCGGCCCCCCAGTGATTAAAAAAAAAATCACTAAAATTGACAAACCTCTATCAAGAATGACCAAAGATAGAACACACAGGTTATCAGAATGAAGAATGAAATGGGGACTATCAACAACAGACCCTATAGACTCAAAAGGATGAAAAGAAAAACTAAAATTAACTCTATAAGTTTAAAACTGGGCACCTTAGAAGAAATGGACTGATTGAAAAGTACAACTCAGTATGAAATAGATAATGTAAACAGCCTTGTTAGAAATAAGACTATGAAAAGAAGTTCAATATCAGCCACTGGGGAAATGCAAATTAAAATGATGACAATGAAATATCACTACATACCTGTCAATGGCTAAAATAAAGAAAAAAACAGCAACAACATAAAATACTGGCAAGAATGTGGAGAAGTTTGATCAAACAGAGTTTGGTAGTTTCTTTTCTTTCTTTTTTTTTCTTTTGAAACAAGATCTCACTGTGTAGTTCAGGCTGGCCTTGAACTCACTATGTAGCCTGGGTGGCCTTAAACCCACAGCGATCCCCTTGCCTCAGATTCTTGAGCGCTGGGATCATAGGTATGTGCCACCACACCTGGCTCGGTAATGTCTTTAAAAACTTAACATCCAGTTACTATATTAGCCAGCAATTGCATTCCTGGGCATTTTTTTCACAGAAATTCTCCCACAAAATGTTCTCCAAAACAAAATAAAACAAACAAAAACTTACATAAATGCCTATAACAGCTTTATTCATTATTGCAAAACAAAACTGGAAAAACCCCACATTAAGTAAATGAACAGTTAAACTGGCATATTCATATCATAAAAAGAAAGGAACAATATTTGACACATTTAGTAACCTGTATGAATTTGAGTGAAAAAAGCCAATTCCAAAATTACTGTGTAATTTCCATTTACAGAACATTTTTGAAATAAGAGGATTACAAAAGTGGAAAACAAATCAGTTATGGCCAAATGTTAGAAGAGGATGGGAGAAGGGAAGTGGGTGTGACTTAAAAGGATGACATGCGCAATCCTTGTGGTGATCCTGTAAGCTCACTGGGTTTTTTTTTGCTGTGTGGTGGTGGGGTACCAGGTACCAGGGATTGAACTTGGGACCTGGCACTTATGAGGCAGGCAGTGGCACCACTGAGCTAAATCCCTAATCCTCACTGTATTATCATTTTGCAAAATGTTACAACTGGAGGAGACTGGGTAAAGGGTACAAAGATCTGTCTATATTATTCATTATAATTGCATGTGAATCTACATTTACTGCAAAATAAAAAGGAAATGTTTAAATTAATATACACATTGAATATATTTACAATTGACTTTAACTTACATTTGGAAGAAAATTATAACTTTGCCATTATTATAACTACTACACTTACTGATCTTTAAGAAGAATTAAAAATTACAAACTGATAGGAGAAAATACTAACACAGAACTAAAGACAAAAAGCTGAGAAGAAAAAAAGACTGACCACCCCAAATTCACCCACTACAGATAAAAACAATGAAAATAAACAAAAAGGGCTAGGGATTTAGCTCAGTTGTTCTGCCACCTTCCTTGCAAGCTCAAGGACCTGAGTTCGATTCCCAGTACCAAAAAAAAAAAAAAAAAAAAAAAAAAAAAAAAAAAAAAAAAAAAAAAAAAAAAAAAAAAAAAAAAAAAAAAAAAAAAGTATCATGTCTCCAACATATCATCTGAAATCCCTGAAACTTGATATTTTACTAGAATTAATTACTGACCAGAAAAATACAAGTAAACAGGAAGCCCCTTTAGTGTTCAAGCTTTTTGCTATGTCAGGCTAGGACTCATGAAAGTGAAAAAACTGTTCTTAATTACCTAAGTGTACAATCTAACTATTTTGCATAGAAGCACAAACATGGTTTTACAGTGTATTTTTATTATACATTGATTTTTTTAAAGAACGCAGCTAACATCACCTCAAGGGGAAACAGTGCTTTTTTCTGTTTAAAAGTTTACCCTTAGTTGTCAGCATTTAAGAACCACCAAAGTCAACAGTGCTCTGAATTCACAGCACCACACTCAAGTCCTTCTCATTTGTAGCATTTCTACTGACAGCCATATCCGCCCACATAGTCATCTAACTACCTCCTAGTGGTGTCAGCCTCCCACACTGATATGCTAAAACATGCTACTTTATTTTTCTTCTACATTATGAATAGGGCATTATGTTGATTTTTAAAATCATATATATGACCAATGAATATCATTTTAGGATACTGAAGGTGCCTTACAAAATAATCATCATAAAGGAGGATAACTAGACCACAGGTTGTGACCTCTGTAAGGAGCTCTTCAGAAAGCATTCCACGATTTTTTTCTCCTTGACTGGCCCTCACGAGAAGGTCAGGCATGGGAAGCAGCCAGGGCCAGCTGATAACAGCAACAATACAAGCCAGGGCCTCAGCTAACATCAAAGGGCAGTCACACAGGGAGAGGAGGGTAAATCTACCTTCAGGGTTCTACTGAGGGAACAATGAAACACAAAGAAAATAACAGAAGAAAAGGAAATTTGTTGAATACCCCAAGCTTTTATACCTTCTTCACTTTCACTCTGACTAATATAAAACATTTTCCTCTTTTCCTTTAATTGGGCATAAAAGCTGTGACCTGATACCCAGATGGTCTCCTGTGGAATTTCTCTCAATTTCCAATGCTGCATACACATAGGCTTCTGTCTGTAAAGACGAATGATTATTTTTAAAAAATCACTAGATCTACAAGGAAAAATTTTGCAGTTCATAAAACAGAACCCATATAAGGACTCCAAGTAAATATATACCTATGAAACAAAGTTACTAGGAGAAACTGAAAATTTGAGAAAATCTCTAGTTTGCATTTTCCTTGGAATTCAAGATTTTATAGTTATGAGAATACGGCAAGAAATCATGAAGAAGAAATAACTTTTTAATCAGAGAAATTATAGGCAAAAGCTCAAGAATACAAAGGGTGAACTAAAGAAACATAAAATCAATGCATATTATATGGCAAACTAAAAAAAAAGGAGGCATAAGTGATTAAAAGAATAAAAGAGGCTATGTGACATGAAATATATACCCAGAGGACCAAATATATACATATTTTAATATCTTGAAGGGACTTCAGGGTAAAAAGAGAAGCAACAATCAAAGTAATAACAGAATGCCTAGAAGGAATTTTAATAAAAATCCATCATTCAATTTTAATAACAACCTAAGTAAATAGAAAGAGTAAAAACATTATCTCAAACTGCCTTTCTGTCGTATTTAATGGCAAGGAACCAAAAAAAGCATCCACAGTAGGGTGAAAACAAGTCAAGGACATTACTAGTATTTAATACAACTCAGGTCACACATAGAACAGCAGGAACCAGAAATAAAAATCAACAACTGGAATGGAGAAAACAAAAGGCATTATTCACTTGGAGAACACATGGGAATCAACTGAAACCCACTAATGCTAAGAAAAGGGATGGTAAGGGAGTGAACCAGTCACAAATGTCTGAAAATTACCTAATCGGAAAACACAATTAAGCTAGGCATGGTGTTCGTGCCTGTAATCTCAGCACTGCAAAAGGCTGCTGCAAAAGGGTCGAAAGTTCAAGTCCAATCTAGCAACTTAGTGAGAACCTGTCTCAAAATTAAAAAATAGAAAACTGGCTGGGGATGTAGCTCAGGGAAAAGGTCCTGGCTTCAATTTCTGGTGCCACAAAAAACACAAAACAAAACAACAAAAAACATGAAACAAGCTGAGATGGCTGGGGCACATCTGCAGTCCCACCTACTCAGGAAGCTCAGGCAAGAAGACTGTTGGAGTCCAGGAGTGTGAGACCATCCTGGGCACCACAGTAAGACTTCATCTCTAAACAAACGAACAAATAAATGTAAAACTGGGTTTCAGCTACTTAGAAGGTTGAGGTAGGAGGACTTCAACTTCAAGACCACCCTGGACAATTTAGCAACTCCTTGTATCAAAATAAAAAGAGCTGGGGATATAGCTCAGCAGTAAATTACCTCTGAGTTCAATTCCCAGTATAAAAAAAACAAAACAAAATGAAATGAAAAACAATGAGTACTTGCTTTGGGAGCACTAATACTAAAATTGGAATGATACAGAGAAGACTAGCATGGCCTTTATTTGTGTAAGGATGGCATTCAAGTACAATCTGTATTTGAAAAAATAAAAAATACAGTGAATAAATAATTCTATCCACAGGAATAAAAACATAAAATGAAGGCACAAATGAGAGAGGAGAGGAGAGAGATGGGGAGACAGAAGCAGAGGCAGGCAGGCAGATAGCCAGATGGATAGACAGACATTCTTGGGTGAGATGCAGGGAGAGCACCCACCTTTCTGCACCACAGACTTTCAGGAGGGCATGGAAAGACACCAGCCTCAACCAGCATTCCACCTATCAGAAAGCCAGAGGAAAACTTGGTTCCCCTCGAAGGCCCCACCTGAACCTCGTACTCCTAGGAAACACAAAGCCACAAACCATATATATACCATGGACCTAAAATGTAGCACCTTATACGCCAAGACAAGTTTTTAAAATGGTCACAATGGGGTTTACTCCAGACACTGCTAAAACCTATGGATAAACAAAGTGTGGCCCATCCATCACATGGAATATTATTCAGCCATACAGAAGAAAGACATTGTGACACATGCTCCAACTGTGCTAGGGGATAAATCTTATGCCAAGTGTTCTTGCCACAATTTGAAAATGAACTAAGTGAAAAAAATGAGGCAAATGAAAACACTAAATCTGAAATGTTATTTTTAATCGCAAGATATATTCATCAATAAATCCTTTAAAATTATAAAACAACAATAACAATAACAAACTTATTCCTAACTACTGTGATTTTGCAGCCTGTCATCTCCAAGCAAACCCAGACTCCTTATCTGTCCCACACTTTAGGTCCTCAAGCCAGTGAAGTGATGGAATCAGCACATCCCTGCACTCTGCTCCGCTCCTGGCCTGTGAGGGTCCCACCACTGTTTGTGCATGCCTGTCTGCCCTTCTCACACATTCTGAATCTGCAGGCATAAGGTGGCCAAGGTGGTCCTCTACCCCATCTCGTCCTGTTCCCACTGCCAAATGCACACCATCCATCACAAAGATTCCTGTAGCACCTGGTACTGTCTTCCTGCCTGTTTCTGTCATCTACTGGTCCAGCCCCAGTCTCTCAATGCCCTGATATTCCTGACCCACAACACTCCTCCTGAAAGGGTATCAGAGGGACTGACCCCCACCCTCTGGCCTCTCACTTAGAAGATCTTCAGCATCCCTTTTTTCTACTCTGTCCCCACCAGGCCACCTGTCCCATTTCGTCTCAGCGTCTATTCCCTAATCTGCAAGTCCTGGTCTTAGTGTTTACTAAGTGTGAACATGGACAGCTGGTTTAATCTCTTTCTGCCTCAGTGTCTGATCTATAGAATGGAACATTATAACGATACTGTCTCACAGGCTTGTAGTAAAGACTAATGGGGATGATACTTATCAAGTACTTAGAATACTACTGTAGTTAGTACCTAGTGAGCAAAGAACGTCACTTATTGGTAGTAATACTTCTATAGTAGGTGAAGGTGGTGCAGAATAAAAAAACAAAGGTCCCTTCTAGCAGCAAACATTGCAGTAGAAAAAATAATGGAGTCAGGCCCTGGGTTGGAATTTGGGAACACTACCAAACCCACTGAGCCTCTTTATTCATACATTAGAGGGTGATGAGACTATTTACCTGCTGCGTTGGAGGAGTACGTGCCTGCCTGCAGGTCATTTCCTTCCCAGGTCAGAGAAGACAGGCCCTACAGGTCAGAGTTTAAGGTATCACCTGGGTAAATCTTAAGTAACTGGAGAATGGATGGAAACTTGTGCTGGCAAGGGCACAGACAGTGCCTGGGAAGCAGACTGTTATGACCTTGGGAGTCACAACTGCTTTGTCCTTGTTGATCAGACACATATAAGATTCTGTGAGCACAGAACAGGTCTGAATAAATGCAAAAGAATTGAAGTCATCCCCTGTATATTATCAGATCATAGTGCAATCAAGCTGGAGATCAACAGCACAAGAAACTGTAGGAACTTCACAAGCACATGGAAACTGAACAACACTCTCCTAAACAATCAATGGATTACAGAGGGAATTAAAGAAGAAATTAGACAGTTTTTACAAATAAATGAAAACACCAATACAACATACAGGAATCTATGGGACACAATGAAAGCAGTTCTACGGGGAAAATTCATAACATTGAATGCCCACACTAGGAAAACAGAGCGGGCTCAAATAAACAACTTCATGATGAAACTTAGACTCCTAGAAAAACAACAGCAAGAAAAACCCAAAGCTCGAACAAGAGAGGAAATTATAAAGATCCGAGAAGAAATCAATGCAATGGAAACTAAGAAAACAATACAAAAAATAAATGAAACAAAGAGCTGATTTTTTGAAAGAACAAATAAAATCGACAAACCCTTAGCTAATCTTATCCAAAAAAGGAAAGAAAAGGCTCAGATCCACGCAATCAGGAATGAAAAAGGCGAAGTCACAACAGATCCCACAGAAATCCAGAAGATCATGAATACCTACTTTGAGAACCTGTACTCCAATAAAATGGAAAACACAGAAGAAATGGACAGATTTTTAGATACTCACGAATTACCAAAGTTGAACAAAGGGGATAAAAATATTTTAAACACCCCAATTACAGTCAGTGAAATTGAAAATGTAATTAAAAATTTACCAACAAAGAAAAGCCCAGGCCCTGATGGATTCACTGCTGAATTTTACAAGACATTTAGAGAAGAACTACTACCATTACTCTTCAAACTTTTCAATGAAATTGAAAGAGAAGCTATACTTCCAAATTCATTCCTGGAAGCAAGTATCACTTTGATTCCCAAACCAGAGAAAGATACAACCAAAAAGGAGAACTACAGACCAATCTCCTTAATGAATATAGATGCAAAAATCCTTAATAAGATACTAGCAAACAGAATACAGAGGATTATTAAGAAGATCATCCATCATGACCAAGTCGGATTTATTCCAGAGATGCAAGGGTGGTTCAACATACGAAAGTCAGTGAATGTAATACATTATATTAACAAAGTCAAGGACAAAAACCATATGATCCTCTCAATAGATGCAGAAAAAGCATTTGATAAAATTCAACACCCATTCATGATAAAAACCCTGCAAAAAATTGGAATAGATGGTCTATACCTCAATTTAATAAAGGCTATTTATGAAAAACCATCAGCCAACATCATATTGAATGGCCAAAAACTGAAAACCTTCATGTTAAAATCAGGAACAAGACAAGGATGCCCACTATCACCACTTCTCTTCAATATAGTTCTGGAAACATTAGCCACAGCAATTAGACAAGAGAAAGAAATTAAAGCAATAAAGATAGGAAAGGAAGAAGTTAAACTATCATTATTTGCTGATGATATGATACTCTACATTGAAGATCCAAAAAACTCCACCAAAAAACTTCTAGACTTAATTGACAGATTCAGTAAAGTATCTGGATACAAGGTGAATACCCAAAAATCAATAGCCTTTCTATACACAAATAACAGACAGACAGAAAGAGAAATAAGGGAAAAAATTCCTTTTACAATAGCATCCAAAAAAATGAAGCATCTAGGAATCAACCTAACAAAAGAAGCAAAAGAGCTCTACACTGAAAATTACAGCACTCTGAAAAAAGAAATCGAAGAGGATATAAAAAAATGGAAAGATATCCCCTGCTCCTGGGTAGGAAGAATCAACATAGTGAAAATGGCCATACTACCGAAACTG